GAATTGCGATAATTTTTGTAAAAAAAAAATAAATCAATAAGCGCATAAATTTGTTTTGACCATTAATTTGGTAAGTACTATAATCTTTATTTCATTTCGTTCTACAATTACAAGTGTCTTAAATTCTTTTTGATCAAATTTCTGTCCCTTTTTTTATCAAGTACAATTTTTGAGACAATAAACGTGTCTGATTCGGTTTTTTATTAAGTTAAACATGCATTTACCATTAAATCAAAAGCTTAATCGCAAATATAGTTACATACATTCATATAAATACTATATTAATTTGTATATAATGCGTTGATATAAACAAACAAAAAACCTTGTGTATATATATGGGTGTGCATTTTCACTTGAATATTCAAAATATATTTTGAAATCTCTAGTTACCATCTTAGAGACAGATGCTGTAGTCAATTTATAGATAAGATTAATGTAACAAATCTCATCTATAGAATTAACTTTATCATGATTGTCATATATTTAGTTGACTTGAAAGGAAAAAGTGAAATATTTTTTGTATGGAAATATTTGCCATGAAGTTGATCTCCAACTTTTGGATGGGGGTCAAATATGAGGTAAGATTTTTATGGCATGAACTTTATAAAAATATTGCTCACTGTTTATGACTTAGGTGAAAACTGGAAAAAAGTAGAAGGCAGCAGCTGACAACATTGATTTTTGCCGGTTGAGTCCTTTCGTCGGCATAACAAAAGTAAACTTTAAGTTTGAAAGCATGCAAAAAACAAAAGAGAAACATGAAAATCCTTTCACTAAAAGCTCATCCGATCATATTGTGTTAACTACTGTGATTAATTCCGTTTCCGAAACCCATCCGCCCGCCCACAAAAATAGAAAAGAATCCGAGGAAGACTCTAAAAAAGGGTGTCGGCTCAAACTTATACGAGTGTCAAAGATTAACCAAAGGTTCAATGTTCCTTGGAGAATATTGCATAGAAAATTTTCGTTTTGGTACGAAGAAGAAGCATTTTTGTTTTTTTTTTTAAATGCAAATTACATATAACGGTATCGGAAAATTTTTTGTTTTGCCACTTAGAACCGTAAGATATAAGAAGCCTGATCTATCATATGAAGGCTCTCAGTATATAACAATAAACTATGCAAATTATGCTTTCACATTAAGGATCTCGGACTTTAATAATTAAAAACAAATATTGTACGTGTAAATAACTTAAAATTTTAAGACATATTTTACTTGTGATCACAAAAATAATACTATATTAGTGTATGTAAGAAAGCTGTATTTATAATTCTAAATTATAATTGATTAATTATATTATAAGAATTGTTGGTGATATGTTCCCTAAAATGATATATATTTTTTTAAGGAAACAACAGTGAAACCCTCAAAACCATAGAAAATAATAACTTATAGATTGGCTTTGAATCTTTTGACTACGTGTTCTATTCGGATTATTTAGATCATTATATAAACTTTTGGCTATCTGTAGGTACTGTTTAAGAAGGATAGTTAAAATACTATTTAAAAATAAATTTTATATTTAATACATTATTTTCACTAAATTCAAAAGACTACAATACTTTAATCATACTTTTCTTTCTTTAAATATCAATTTAATTATTGTCACTAGGCATAATGAGTTTTTTTTTTTTTTTTTGTATTCATAGTAATACCTTTACATTTTACAAGTCTATTAACATCCCACATTAAACATATTTTTTAATATTTTTTATTTTTTATATAATTATTTTTCTATTGTAATTAATTTTTGTCTCATTAAATTTTAATATTCAAATTTTCTTTTTAAATTATATTTATCAAAATAATGCAATTACATATGTTGTTATTTTTTTAATTGATAAAATTTTAAAATTTCTCATTTAACATAATTTTAGTTTTTTTTTTTTTTTTGATGAAGCCCTTTCCTTCATTTGGATAAATGAAATCCAAATAAAAGAATACATGCATAATAATGATGACAGAAATCTATATATTTTTTTATCTAAAGAAATAGGAGAATAAGAATAATAAAATTCCAACTTCCATCTTAGATGCTTTTTTTTTTTTAAAACAATTGACAAATGGACGAAGACAATAGGAATCTATATTTCGGAGGCGTAATTATTGATCCTCATGACCTTCCAATAAATAAATTAGATTGATGGCAGTAACTTTTTTTGGTGCAGAAAATTTGAAGCTTGTTTATGCTAGAAATTCGACCCAGCGCGTCTGGCAGATGCTTGGCGATGGACGAATCTAATTTTCAGAATTAGACTTTAAGCTAATTTCTTGGAGCCTTCGTTTAAGTGGCGTTGCTGCGTTTTAATAGGTGAATGTCCCGAATCCTTTCCAAAAGGTGTCACCAACCTTTATGCATGGCATCTATTTCCAATGTGGTGGCTGAATAGTAAGCCTATCTACGCTTCATATACAGCAAAACTATAAATTATTCAAATCTTCACATTGATTCATCCTAGGTTAGAAATCTCATAATTTTTTATAAAAAAAAAAAGTTATAGTTTGAGAATAGGATAAGAGATTAAAAGAATTGAAATTTGAATTACAAAACTATTAAATGTTATATCTAAAAAATAATTGAATAAATCAATTATATTAAATCTCGATAAAATTTCATAAATTATTATTGGTATTTTTCCTGAATTTTGTTGGGAATTTCTCTTCAAATTCGAAGTTTTTAAAAGAGTTTGCTTGACGAAAAAGGGTTTACTACAAATTTCATTAATTTATCTATTAAACAAGTTTGCTTGACGAAAAAGAATTCTTACTACATGTGGATTTTTTGGGGTAAATATAATTATTTGATTGTATAAAGGTAATAGAGTTTTAAATAAATGAAGAAAGAAATTCCTGAAGTAGAAAATGGATAGCTGTCTGGTTTGGAAGAGTTTTGATCTATATATGGGATTGTGCTATTGATTTTGGTATTTATAGTTTATTTTTTTATATATATTGTGAATTGTATAATATTACTTTATTAATGAGGTGAATTAGATCATATCACCTTATTAATATTTAAAATTTTTATATTTATTTTAAAAATTAATAATTATTCACTAATAAAATAATATCATTACAATACATTAAATATAATATTTTTATAATTTTTAAAATTTTCCTAATTATAGTGGATTTTTTTTTCCACACGTGAATGTAGATGGAGAGCGTTGAACCGTGTTAAATTTTTTCTCTTATAAGTACAAGAATCTATGTTTTTTTTTTCTTAGTTGTAAGCCTGATATTTGGTTTTTATATTGATCTCAATTTGACTGTGATGGACGGTGGCTGGCTGATATGTTTTTTACAGATTTAACGACAGAAAACAACGGGATCCAAACACTAGCCTAGAGAATTACTTTCCTCCTAGATAAATGTCATCAATGATGTTCTATTTTTTTAATATAATTAAAATGAAACTACGAAAGGAAACTAAAAGACTCGTTCCATTGTAACATGCAAGAGTACTTATCCATGCTTGTAATTGCAATAATCTTCGCCAACAGTTGCAAGCAACATGCTAAAGAGATGATAATAAATTTGATAAATTTTAATGATAAAATTGTTTTAATATAGTAATTTTAAAAAATACGTTTAGGATTTTTGTTACCAAAAATTAATTAATTATTTTTTAGTAAAAAAGAAAAAAAATGCTTTCCTTCACATATTGTTTGATTCATACGAACAATTAATTAAATTGGTAAGTAAATGAGCTTTTCACAAAATTGGGTTTTAAATTTCAATACTTACATAGTCAAAAGTGTCGGTTGGTAGTTCAACATCCAAATTGTAAATGTGTATATATATATATATATATATATATATATATATATAAATAAGAAATATACACTCATATGTACTATGTTTGTGATGATTTTTTTTAAAATTAAGATAATTTTTTATACATTAAAGAAATTGATATGATAAACATCAATTATGGATATATATATGTATGAATACTTTTATGTGTGTATAATTTTTCATGTTAAATATTTTATGAAAATTGCAAGTGATATTTTTTCCATGCCTCAAACTGAAAATTGTAAAATATAATCTAAAAGGTTTGAATTTGAATTTTGAGACAAGAAATAATTAATTATTTTTAATTGTGTAATTCAAAATGATATATTCTTAAACTAAATTTAAAGAAAAATTGTAAAAAATGTTCATAGACTAAAATTAAATAATCATTTAAATTCTCATAATTTTATTGCAATTAATTAAAATATCTTTTAAATGTTTATTTTTACTAATTGAGCTTTTATTAGTAAAAAATTTATTAACGGCTGACACTTATTTTCATTTAATTAAGGGTTAAATTAAATAAAAATGATGTTTAAAAAGAATTTAATTGAATAAAAATAAATATTTAAGAATTTAATTAATTATAATAAAATAATAAAAATTTAAATAATTATTTAATTTTATTTTAAGGCTTTGTTTATTCTTAAACCTGAACTTGACCAATAGTAACCACAGTCTAAACTAGACTAGATAAGGGAAAATAAGACCCACCGCGCACTTTTTTCCTCTTTTTGTTTTTCTATTATCATGTGATTATTATTTGCATTATATTTATTTTTTAATTTTTTTTCTCAAAGAAAAACAGCCAACAAGAGAAAAAAATGGGCGGCAACTGGCAAGTTGCCATGCTCGCACACGTGATACTGTTTGTTAAGGTCAACGGCTTTTACATCAGATCCCATTAGTGCATCGACCGTGTCTGTGTTGGCCGCGAGAAAATCTCAAACCATTTTTTCCTTCCCTTTTTTCCATAGAAAAAAAAAGTGTTATAATAAATAAATAAATAACCATTTTCTCAAATATGAAAATCCTTGTAGACGAAACGACATCGAAGCTCATAAAAGGAGACGCGTCTCATCACCAACCATTTCTAATTTTAAACGTCATTTTCATCATCATCAGCATCATTATTACTATGATTATTTTAATAAATTAATTAATTTGTTTACTCTCTTTTCCTTCTATAAATAGCCATTTTGTTGTTCCGTGGTCTTCCGCTCATATCTCAATTGCCATTCAATTTCTTTTTGGCTTTATCCAACTTACAATATTTCCATATCTGATTGGTGTTGCTTTCCTGTAATAATCTGGTTATTGATACTCCAAAGGAGCAAGTTCCCTTTGTTGGGTTGTTGCTATAACTTCAAGAATCTTCTCAATTTTGTTTGGGGCTAAGCTTGTTTGCTCCTGAAGATTTTTTAGTCGTTTTGGGTTGTGTTAGTTCTTGTTCAATTGTTTCTTTCAATTTCCTTGAGGATGGTTTGCTTGGTTTCTCGTACCGGGAGGCACTTGCAGCGATACGACAACTTGGGTCGCCGACAAGTTGTCGGGTGAGTAGTCCTGTTTCCTATAGAGTTTATGGTCTTTTTCATTCTGAAAAGAGTTTGTTGGATTTTGTATCTTCTTTTTGCTTGTCTTTTGGCGGGGGGGGGGGGTGTTGGGCGTGGCGTCCGATAGGAAAAAAGTAATTCCTTGAATTTGGGCTATGCCATTTTTGGTCAGATTTTTCATACTAAGACTGTTTCCATCTTTTTTTGTCCATGAAAAATTCAATTCTTACTTGCAATGAAGGATGAAAAATTAATTATTTTCTTCAATTTTGATAATTGCAGATGCATTCCCTATAGATACAAATGTAACAGTGATGGAACTGTTAGTAATGACTTGGAGGTTCTTGTAATCTCCTCCCAGAAATGTCAAAAAATGATGTTTCCCAAGGTACACACAAAGTTCATTTTTCATGTTAAACAAAAATAAAAGGGAATATGATGTTCTTTTGAAGTTTTTAAACTTTAAAAACTTGATTAAAGGGTTGATTAACCATGATCTCTTGTTTATAATTATCAGGGTGGTTGGGAGCTTGATGAATCTAGAGAAGAAGCTGCTTTAAGAGAGTCACTTGAAGAAGCTGGTGTTCTAGGCAATGTTGAGGTTGGTATTAGTTAATTAACTGCTAATCCTGTTCTGAAATTGTTTATATAATCAAAATCCCAAGAGTAATCTTGAACTAATATTTTTATATATGTTTGTACTTGAACACAGAGCGAATTGGGCAAATGGGATTTTATAAGCAAAAGGAATGGCACATATTATGAAGGTTACATGTTCCCTTTGCTTGTGAAGGAGGAACTTGCCTTCTGGCCTGAGCAACATGTGCGCCGAAGGACATGGGTAAGCTATTACTCTTCTTCCTCGAACAATTTAATTGCTTCCAATTCATATTTTATATAGCAGATTTGTTCAAAATTAAGAGTCTAATTTGTCTTTTTTTTTTAAATAGATGAATGTGAAAGAAGCCAGGGATGTGTGCCAGCATTGGTGGATGAAGGAAGCCTTAGACATACTGGTTGATAGACTGACATCCCCGCAGCAACAGAAGGAGCAAAATATCTCAATTTGTTCTCTGATTTAGTAGTGAAGATGGATTGTTTGTAAATAGGGAATTGCCAGGCTCATTAATTTGAATCTTTGTTAGAAAGCAGGGGTTGGGGCCAATTTGTTGACTCCCAAGAAGACAGTCGCAACTGGTAGATATGTTCAGCAAAAAATTGTTAATTCGTGGATGCAATGGTTGGTGCTGCTAGTTAACCTTCTTAGGAAGCAATTCATTTGAAAGGAAAAAAAAACCTAGGTGAAGAGATCTTAAAACAAGCTGTATATTTCAACCCATGCCCATCATAACAAGTAGCATTACTTGTGATCAAATGGGCCATGATTGAATTACAAAACAAAAACAAACAAAAAACAAAATCAATCCACTTTGCATGAGCCATGCTCCCTTTGCTCATGATTCTTTTATGTTTATTGCAAATCTCTTCTATAAGAATGCGCTTCGGTTTTCATTTTTGTACATAAGAAAAAGCAATGCGATTTACGACTGGTATTTTTTTTTTCCTAAATATCATTTATTACTTAAGTTCAATTTTGAGTTAAATACATTCGAGTATTTAGTTCAATTTATTGGTGCAAAATCAAGATCTCTGTCAAAGAACAGAGTTCAAATGCTTCATCTATTAACAAAAATAAAAAAAAAAAAGGTATAAATTTGGAGAAGGAGAAGTAAACCTAATTCCTTTGAGCAAAGGACATAATCAAATGATCAAGTGCAATATCTTCAAGAGCTGTCTTTAGCATAAGCTTTTGTTTATTTACTCGTGACCCTAATTTTTCTATGATGTTGAATTAAGATGTCGGCCACCCTTATTGGTTTGTAAGGTGAAGGTAGGCAAATAATAAATGTTGCATGATGCAAAAATAATTATTGTATATATGTTTGAAAAAATGAAATTGAAAAAGTAAATTTTGTTTTGATTTGTACGTAAATTATAAAAATAAATGCATTTATTTTACACAAATTAGTTAAAATTTAATATGTTTATCCCTATATTAAAACCTTATTTGTACCAAAAAAGTATAAGAAAATGAATTATAAGTTCCAAAATACACATGTATTTCAAATATCCAACCAATCTATGAATTTGAAAATAATTATAAATATTTTATTCAAAAACATATAATTTATATTAAATTTGAAATTTAAATCTTTCTTTTTTAAATTCAAAATTTCAAAACGTAACTTTATAAATTTTATTAGAAAATTTAATGATATGTAGCTATCAATGATGTGAACATAAAGATGTGAGATCAAGCCAACCCAATTAGTGGCTATTGAGTTTTGAAATATAACTACATGATATTGATAATCTGCCCCACCCCTCCAAAAGAAATAATTGAAGAGAAAAACCAAACTCAAAACCAAATTGTTCAAATATGAATTGAGATCAAGGTCATCTTGCAAATTAAGGATAAAAGGGCATATATTCTCTCTCTCTCTCTCTCTCTCTTTTTTTTCCTTTTCGTCTTTCCTATCCATCCTTCAGTGGAAAATAGCATGAAAAATGTTCGGCCAAAAGCAAAAGTTTCTTTCATTCAATCATTTGCTTAAGGTATCATATTCTGAATTTGTTATTTCCTCACCTTTTTCATTTTCTTTATTGTGTCCAACACTCCACGAAAATTATGCCCAGAGAAATGTTTATTAATTAAGTTAAACAAAAAAAAAAATCAACTAATTCACTAAACATTTTTAATAATCATAGTACTACTTAATTGGGGTTTTAATACTAATTGAGATGGATTTATTTTACCTTCCGTCCCATTTTTTTTGTTTTATTTTTTTTATGTCATGCCACAAAATTATTTATTTATTTAATAAATAAAACATTTATTTTTATTCTAAAATAATTAAAGTTTTTAATGAAATATTCCTCTTTCACTCAAATAATAGTATAATTGCACTAAAAATTGAATAAAGGTAGTGATATTGTATAAAAATGTAAAAAAAAAAAAAGGAGGTTTGAAACTTTCAATTTAATAAAGTGAGAAATTTGATCCTTATCGAAATTAATTGTGACATATCATGCATCTTAAAATATTTCTTTTTCCATGTCATAAATATTATCATAATTTGACTTTTATGATAAATTTAATTTTTTAATTTCAACCTCATTTTTTAGATTATCTGATTAAATTAAATTTAAAAAATATATAGTTAAAATTACTATTTGCTTAAAATTTTTAAAGAGTTTTTTTAAATTAATTAAAAATAGTTTTATAAATAAAAGATAATAAATATTAAAAAATATTAAAAAAATTCAAACTCTAACATTAATTATGGAACTTATGAGTATTAATTTTTAATTAGGTTGGAATAGGATATAAGCCGTACAAAGTCAAGTTAGGATTTGGATTTGACAGCCTCAAAATTGAGGAGAACCATACCTTTTGCTTTTCCTTCAAATTTACCAACTTTACACAACTACTTTCAAGCCCTCAAAATTAGTTTACATGTGGGAGGCATGTCATGCTTTGCTTCGACCCACCATGTTGTTTTAAGATTTTTTTTTTCCTGAACCCTGTTTTATGTTTTATTGTTTTTCTCAAAAGCCTTTGGCTTCCAGATTTTTCTCAGGATATTAAGGTAATTGCATGATGTGGATGCCCAAGCCTAGATATGAAGTTGCAGCTTTTGTGGGCTTTGACGAAGGAAATGTGGGGCTCTTTTCTTTGGTTGTTCCTAATAGTTGATGTGCGCAGTGAAAGAGATTTTCTACATCAACTTTTTGGTGACGGTCACTTTATACCTGCACCTAAAAGTAGTTGGGATCGAGCAAGATGAATGGTTTTTTTTAAAAGCCCATATTAATGTGATTGATGTATGATAACGTCCACTCCTTTGAAAAGTTAAATTATCTGTCATCGTTAAAAGAGAATTAATGTGTAAATCAATCAGTGAACTATATAACTTTTAAGAATTGATATTTATAAAAAAAATTATATTTGATATCATAAATTTTAATGATGTACAAATATTAATTAATAAAAATATATTATATGTTATAATTTTATTTGTTGATTTTTTTTATCAAGTTTGAATATTATTAAAGAAATTAATGGTTAAAACAAATAATATAATATAATAAAAATTAATTATCAATTATAAATAATTTTTTTATAAATATCAAATCATAAAATATGATATAATACAAAAATCAAATTACATACCATCCTATGTCAAAAACAACGTTTCCAACTATTTAGTATTTCTTTTCCTTTTTATCCTATTCCTTCTGCTCTGAAGGTTGTGGGACTACCATGTCTTGCTAAAATGTAAAGCCGTATACAAATTTAATTCAATAGCTACACTAATTTAATTTAATTAATTTATGTGAACATGAATTTAATTCATTTATTCCATGCAATTGTTTTAAAAAATAATATTTAATAAAATTTAAATTTTAATACCTTTAACTCTTTATTTTATTTTCCAATTATAATTTTTTATAAAAAAATAAAATTAAATAAAATTGTCCAAGTCCCTTCCAGCTAATTTTTTTTGATATGTTCCCTCTATTTACAGAAAAGATTTTCAACCATGTATAAAGCATGAACACGAGGGAAACCTCGCGTACTCGTATCCAATACGGAGACTCCACCAAAACGGCATAAATGTTTACGGAATACATCCGGACACGGTAAAATAGAAAAAAAATTTTGGACATGGTCAAGAAAAGGTGACGGCACGTCCGAACTCGTAGCCACTTATCAGAAGCAGAACCAGACGAAGAGGAAAAAGGAGAACGGCGGTTACATTGAAAAATGGGTATAATTTACACGAGAAGCTGAGTTATATTCAAGGGTTCATTATGGTTTGAAGTTTGAAGCATCTAAAACTTGAAAAGCCCAAAATGAAATTGAATCAAAGCAAGAACCTTCAAACAAATCAAATCCACTAGAACTATCGGGACATTTCAAATCTTGAATAATACCAGGTTTTCATTTGAGGAAAAATCTTAAAGAACAAGCGGCGTTTATTTGCAGAAGGGACTGCGTCAACCCTGTCTGAGTCGTCGAAGTCGTCGGAGAATGCCGAGCCACTCGTTGCACAGAGAGCTTCTGGTTTGGATGGAGATGGAGGGGCTCTTTCAAGTTTCAACGAGAGAGGCTGAGAGAGGAACACAAAAAAGTTGGGCCCTCTAGTAAACCCAAGAAAGTCCAGTACAAGCCCATATTAGATAAAAAGAAAACCCCCGCAAATTCCATACCATAGGCATCATAGGAGACTGAATTTACATCCTGAGTCCAGAAATTGGGCTATTAAAAATTATAATTATTTCAATATTTATATTTACATTACATATTTTTATATATAAATGTATAAAAAATATTTTTTTTATTTTTATGTCTTACAGTATCATGTCTTAATTTTTTAGAAAGTATCAAATTTTTGTATTCATATTATATCATGTTTGTATTACATATTCATATCTGTACTTTATAATCGAGCATTCTTATTGTATACTGACTTGATATGGCAGAATATTGTTACATAAAAAACCACTAACAAAGCATAACATGGTTTTATATTTTCTTTTAGGTAGCGTTTGGTATGGGTGATCACTCCAAAAATTATGATAATTTATACATAATGATAAGATAATTGTGTTTAGTAAAGACTTGATGATCTTATATGGTGGTGATCTTAGATCACTGAAAGAGTGATTAAATTATTATTTTGGAGGATGATTTAATTATCATATAAAAAGATAAAAAACTTTTATTATTTTAAACAATCATAAAATTATTAATTTGTGTAACTATTATAATATACATGATTATTTTTATATTTTTAAGCAAAATAATATTTAATTTTTAATAATACCAAACACAATGATATTTAATTTTTAAAAATTAATTATTGTTAACCAAATAAAGAGATTTCAAATTAGGAATATTAAGATTACTTTGATAAAAGATCACTTCCATAATTATATTGCAAAAGATACGAAACATCACCTTAGAGCTTATAGTAATTTGTCAAAGTTTTGCCGTCCAATTCCATGTTGTGGAACCTTCTTATGTAGTCATCATATACGAATTGACGATAGCGGGCTGGTTTCTCTGGTGAAGTAAGCTCAGAAAATGGTCCATATAAGGCTTCCCTGGCACTAGCATTGAAGAAAACAGCAATAGATACTCGGGGTTCATCGGAAGAATTGGCCAGCACTCTGTGCTCTGCACTTCTGTACTCATCATTTGACATAATCTGAAAAATGCAGCAAAACAGAACTTCAGGAACCAGAAATCGTAGCAAATAAAATAATTAATAGATCCAATAATTACCAAGACAACAATGCTTTGAGGTGCTAATAGTTTCAAAATTTGCTTCTAGCAAAAAGGCAAATCCATCCCGAAAATCACATCTTGATTCAGATAAAAGGCTGTTGAAGGATTCCACATCATCAGGGTTTTGGGTTAGATGCATGTAAAATTTATCAGAAATGAAAATAGAAGATAGGCAAAAACAATTCTTTGCAGTTTACTAGATTAATGGAAAAAGTAAGAAAAAAAGTTCCTAAATTCTAATGTTGTACAATTAGACTTTCAGGCACTAAACTGCAAAGAATACTATATAAAGAAAATGGGAAAGAAAAAAGAAAAAATAACCCTTACTTGAAGAACATCTGCAATGTTTATAACAAGAGCTCCAGGTACAGGTTTGACATCCACCCATTCCTCTTCATGCTTAATCTGCAAGCCACCAATGTGATCCTGCAGCAACACCGTCAAGACTCCAGGATCTGTATGAGATGCAATGCCGAGCGTCAGATCAGGCTGGGGACAGCAAGGATAGTAGTGGCACGCCATATATCTTCCTTCCAAACAGGAAGTGTTCTTAAGCTTGTCGGTATCCAATCCCAGCCCTTGGGACAATAGTCCCATCAACCACTCTCCTAATGCTTTAGTCTGCAAGTTCCATTCAACTACCTCGTCTCTGCAAACTTCAGGAATCTGCTCAAGCTCCGGTAAATTTGGTCCTACGCTTATCCGGAGCGTATCCCTGTCATTCCATCCAAAATTTTACAATGTTAAAGGCAAATTTTAACTAACTTTGTAACAAATTACATTGAAGGTCCAAAATTATCTTGTTAAATTGACTGGAAAAGGTAATAACCTATACTCTACCATCCATTCAATTGTCACAAATCCATACTATTATCTATTCTCTTGATAACAATCAATTTAAAGTTATATATCAAGTTTGCTATAGTAAAATCTTGAAATCAAGATAGAGTTCATAAAAGTCAAATCAAGATAGAGTTCATAACAGTCAACACAGCTCAAATTAATTCAAAAAACGATAAGAAAAGATCATCGTAACTAAAAGATTTTGAGTTTGATGAAACCTCCAGCTGGCAGCTTTAGAGTGAAACAAGTCATTGTTGCAAACCAAGGATACACCGGTTCCTTTGTCCCTCCTATAGAACCCTGCCTTGACGTCCTGTGGCTGCTCATGGAAAGCTCTGACGGAACCGATCGTACGGTCCAGTACTTGCACGGGAATTCCATGGTTTAGGATCCGGAAGAACCCAAAGGATCGGGATGCACTGGCAACTTGCTCCACTACCACGGAACGAGGCCCCGACAGGTCGATGGTTGGGATGACAACAGACTCGAGTTTTGGTTTGAGGTCGGAAAGATTTTCGGGTGGGTGAATGAAGAAGCGAGGGATAGCAGTAAGGCCTGAATCGACTAGCCCTTTTGCTCCGATTTTTGATTCGTCGAATCGTTTTACTTCTTCGGCTCTGTCGTACTGGTTTTCACCGTTCACCGCTGCCATTTTTTTTTCCTTCTTTCTAATCTGTTAATTTTTTTTATGTTCAACGCTGGGTTCGTGATCTGTAATAGCATATATGGATGAATATGACAGCCTATCCATAATCCTTTAAGAAAATTATAAAAGAGATAAAATTAAAAAGATTGACAAATAAATATATATAAGATTATTATTTGTACATTTAATAATTATATTTAAATTTAATCGGTGAAATTAAAAAAATTATCACATATTTTATTAAAATAAATTATATGATAAATAAAAATTGTAATAATATTTTAATTCTGTCTGTAAAGTTGACAATATACAAAATAATAATTTATAAACATGATAGGACAAAGTATCAATACTCTAATCTTAATATCTTATTGTAAAATTTAAAATCCTATCATCATGTTAGATGATATATATATATATATATATATATATAAAGATCTAATTACATTAGTGTTATAATAAAGTGTTAAAACATTTTTTGATTTTAAATTACAATTAAATTTACAACACATATATTTAGTTATTTTAATTTAATAATAAAAAATATATAACACTATACTAAAATAAATGAATCACCTCTTTATATATATATATATATATATATATATATATATATCAACCATGTGCTAATCAACTTAGTGCCGCCTTCATAGGCGGGACTGCAAAGGAGCCTGAGTGGACTTGGTCCCTCCAAAATTTAAAACCCCTTATTATATATATTTATATTAAATAAATTTAAATTGATGCTTTCAAACTAAAATGATGTAATTTTTTTAATTTTATGTGTGGTCTAATAATATAATTTTATATTTATTAAAATTAAAACTACACATTAAAAAATTTAAAATTATATTATTATTTATATATTTGTTATGTCATTCACTCAATACTTATTAAGCCCTTAAAACAATAGATTTATTACATGAATTAAATTACAATAATTTACATTAAAAAAAAATCAAATTGACTCTTCAACTTTTTCAGCAAGATTTCAAATCTCTAATCAATTATTAAACATGATTTTTCTTTTTTCTTTTTTAGTAAACTGCAAGTTCTTTTGATTCTACTTTATATTTTTTTCTCTTGTTAATTTGCAAATTGTAAAGCAATTTGTAAATTATTAAAAAAAAATTCTCTTTTAATTACAAAGTTATAATTTTATTCTTTTAATAATTTATTTTATATTTCTTGTTTTGGTGAAAAATATATTATTTAACAATTAATTTATTTACACAAAAATTGTTACTCACAATTTTAAATAAAATTATTTATTGAAGATCTTTTGTTTGTTTTTACATTTATTTATAAATTGATAAAATTTATAATTTTTTTGTGAACTTTTTTATAAGTATATCTTTGTACACATGTGTGTGCATATATATATATTAATAAATATAATAGAACACATTTTACAAAAGAAAACAAAAGATAAAGTATAATATAAGTTGCTTTTGCGTTGCTTAGTTAGCCAATTTTTATAACTCTGGAAAAATTTAACTTCAACCTTATGTGGTTTTTTGCATTTTCTTATAATAAAACATTTTATGATTTTGAACACTTAACATCAAGTGAATTGTGATAAACTCCATTAGTCAACAGTCATATTGTCCCACAAGGATGATGGAAATTGATGAATCTAATCCACTGATAGCCAGGGAAAGTTGAAATGGCTTTAATATTTAGATGATGAAGTGATGACAGAAACACAATTAAGTTAATTTACAAACTCTTACCCACCTAGTAATAAGGATTTACATCCAATCTTAAATTTTGTGTAATAAATCAAAACAAATCAATTATATAATTTTTATACTATTGATTGATCTGTAGGCATAATCTTAATTGTAGCCTAAAGTCAACTTCACTAATTGTTTTTCATTTATTCTTTACTTATTATACACATACGTTTATTATAGATGCATTCAATTATAACACTCTCTGTATCGAGGGATAGTAAATCCATAGAGGTGTTTCTAAATTTTTTTATGGTATCATAGCTCTTGGAGAATTATTATTCTTTTATATTGTTTTTCTTTTTAACTTTCAATGGCATCTTCTAGCTCATCCACTTTTTTCACCATCCAAACCATAGCACAAATTTCTGCTATAGTCATTGAAAAATTGACTACCAACAATGATGTGACTTGGCAAGACCAAGTGCTTCATCTGATAGAAAGGATTTTTATGGCAGATCATATTCCTGTTGACTAAAGGGCTCATACAGCCATCATCGCATCTTCTAATGGCAAAAAAGAATTAAATCATGTATTCTCTATATGGTAGCAAGAAGATAAACTTGCCAAAAGTCTTATCATGTCAATGCTATCATCGGTAGTTCATCCTTTCACTGTTGGGCTTTCTTCAACCAGGGAAATATGGAAAAATCTTGGGGGAGCACTTTCTAAACTTCTCAAAATAGAGACTAAAAGATTTCTTGCAAAAATTAAAAAAAGTTTAAGGGATGAACATCTCACAATTCAAGCCTATCTACAAGAAATGAAGATGATTAGTAATGAACTTACTTGCAATCAATCAACATGTGACAAAGTGTATTGGTCAATTAATGGAATTGGCGATAAGTATGAAACTTTTATCACTGCTGTGAGGTTCGTTTTCCATCTCTTTCATTTGATGAATTCATAAACTTGTTATCTGATTATGAGAAATGTCACATGATCAAGTTTGTTGATTACAAAAAAGTTTTCGTTGCAAATCGAGGATTAAGGCATTCTAGCAATTGTAATTTTCAAAGCCGTTCCAATCATAAAAGAAAAGGATTTTCTCATGATCATAGAAGTAGCAACAGAGATGTGAACTTGAATGTTCCACAGTGAGATTCGTAAAGATCAAACATGATTCAACGATTCACTATTGTCTGTAAAATCTACAACAAACTATGACATAAAGCATTGTGAATTTATGAGAGATTTAATCATGTATATCAAGAAGAGGATGTCCCAAAAGCTCTTGCTACATGGTCTACACATGATTTTTATAATTTGATTAGATTGTAGACATTGGAATAACCTCTTATCTTACAAATGATGCAAGTAACCTTACTAATATCAAACCTTAAAAAAGAACATCTAGAATCATAGTGAGAGATAGCAAGAAACTCAAAATCTCTCATATTGGAGATGCAACAATTCTTATATCCCTAAGCAATTTTTTACTTAAACATGAGTTAGTGGTTCCAGATATTATTGAAAATTTAATTTATATTGATTACTTGACGTCTCACCATGTGTATTTGTTATCTTCTTATCCTTTAGTTTTATTATTAAGGACAAGAAGACTTGAAAAATAATGGCAAGCATGGTTAAAAAGGACGGTTTATTAATTCCTGGGCAAGACAAGATGGCTTTCTTTTCAATCAGACAGAGAAAGGTGACTTAGCGAGTTTGGCATCAACGGTTAGGTCATCCATAATAAAAAAATATTGAATTATCTAAGTAATAAAAATTTTATTTTTATCCAAGTAGCAAAGGAATATTCTATTTGTTCAAGTTGTCAATTTGGAAAGTTTTGCAAATTACCCTTTAAGCCTAGATATAAATGCAGTGGCTTTCATTTTTAGAAATTACATTGTGATCTTTAGGGTTCAGTTTCCTATACATCTTCACAAGGGTTCAAATATTTTGTTAGATTCGTGGATGATTTCTCTAAATATGTTTGGGTTTTCCTTTTGAAATGAAAATATGATTTCTTTCTATGCTTTAAGGATTTTATGCATATGATTGAAACACAATTAGAGAGGAAAATTAAAGTATTTCAAAGTAATGGTGGGAGTGATTTTAACAAGATTGAATTTTTTTCATTTCTAGTTGACAATGGCATTATTCGACATATTTTTTGTCTTCATACAATTGAGAAGAATGGCACAATGGAAAGGAAACCTTGGCGTATCATCGAATGGGCTTTGACTTTATTTTCCATGGCCATGCACCTAAATGGTTGTGGTTAGAAGTAGTCTATACAACTATATTTCTTATCAATCGAACTCCTACAACAACCTTAAATATGAGTTCACCATACAAAATTCTTTTTGTGAAAGAGCCAAATTATTCATTCTTAAAGAAGTTTTGGTTGTCGCTATTATCTTTACTTAGAGATATTATATTATAGAGAAAATAAAATTTTTTCCTAAGAGCCTTATGTCATAATGATTTTGAGATAGTTAGATGAAAAAATTTTAAAATAAAAAAAAATCGTCATCAATCTTTTTTATTAGATGCTATTGGTCACCTAAAAGATTTATTTTTTTAATAAGACAGTAAAACAAGTTTAAAGTTTATCAAAAATATGATTTTAGTTTACGAAAATAAGATTGGATTCAAGAATCGGTTACACGTAGGAGAAAGATTACACCCTCACAATGCCCATAAAATTGGTACCCATTAATCATGCGTTATTGTCGGTGTTAGATAAAATGGTTTCTATTTGAAATTTAATAATAATTCATTTCATTTTTTCTGAAAAAAAAATAATTTTATTAAAAATTTTTATTTAGGAATATTAAAAACGTCTTTACGTTAAAGAATTATATTAAAATTTTTCAACGTTTAAGTAGAATTTACTGATAACTTTTTTTATCTAAGATTTATCATAACATTCTTTTCAAAATCTCTTACTTTTTGCTTCTTTTATCAGAATTCTCAACAATTACCATATGACAAATTTGTTTTTAACATTTGACCATTGTATTCTTCCCTAACAATACTTTTCTTCTTCAAAAGCTTGCAACATTAATGTCTTGTCATGCTTTTCTCATCTTTTTCCATCTGTCTTTAACAACTTTTAAAAAGTAATACTGAAATCTTTCATGTTTGTTTTCTTTTTCATCATTTTAAGTTCAAAACAAAAAAAATGCAATCATACATTTCTCCTATTTATACGGTGAACAAAAATATCAAATGAGAATAAAAGAATGGATAGGCATTATTCCTAAAGGAAAGATAGCATATTTCAATAAACTGATAACAAGTGCATGGCAAAGTGTTTGAGTCTAAACAAAGGTGCCCAAATAATGATCATAAAATAATCATGAACAAAATATTCTCAGATTCATTTTTTAAACTAAATCAAATGACTTTCTTGATCCTTCAAACTTCGTCAAACTACACTT